AATCCCAGCTACTGAAGAGGCTGTGGCAGGAGAATCGCTTGAACCCAGGAGGCAGAGGTTGCAGTGAGGTGAGATCACACCATTGCACTCCAACCTGGGCAACAAGAGTGAAACTCCATCTCAAAAACACACACACACACAAAACAAAACAAAAAAACATATTGCTCATTCAAAAGAACCAACACCTCATTTACATTTTCTCATGAGACTGCAGTAGTTCAGTCACATCCTCAGGCTCCATGTCTAATTCTACTTCTCTTGCTATTTCCACCCCATCTGCTGTTGCTTCCTCTACTGAAATCTTGGATCTTTCAAAGTAATCCATGAATGTTGGAATGAACTTCTTCCAAAATCCCATTAATGTTGCATTTTGACCTCCTTCCATGAATCACCAATGTTTTTAATGGCATCTAGAATGGCGAATTCTTTCCTGAGGGTTTTCAGTGTGCTTTGCCCAGATCCATAAGAGGAATCACTCTCCTACTCATGGCTGCTTGATAACACAGCAGAGTCACCTGTGGTGGCAACATGTTAATTTTTCCAGGGCGGTCCTTGTAGACCTTGTAATTTTTTTTTTTTGACACGGAGTTTTGCTCTGTCGTCCAGGCTAGACTGTAGTGGCACAATCTCAGCTCACTGAAATTTCCACCTGCCAGGTTCAAGCGATTCTCGTGCCTCAGCCTCCCCAGTAGCTGGGATTATAGGTGCACACCGTCACGCCTGGCTAATTTTTGTGTTTTTAGTAGAGATGGGATTTCACTATGTTGGCCACCATGTACAAAAATACAAAAATTAGCTGGGCGTGGTGTGTGTGTGTAACCCCAGCTACTGGATAGGCTGAGGCATGAGAATCACTTGAACTCCTGACCTCATGGGATTCACCTGCCTCTCAAAGTACTGGGATTACCGGTGTGAGCCACCATGCCCAGCCTAGACTGTATTTCTTCAAAGATCAGGCTGCTGATGATAAAAGTACTCTGCTTCCCAACTGAGATGAATTCTGCCAGCTCATTACCAAAAGACTTCACCGTCTTATGACAGGAACTCAACACAGAAGGTATGATGGAAAGCCATTTTATTTTTCCCTAGATAAATTTTAAAATAGGAGACTTTAATGGAAAACATTTAGTACCATGATGTCACCCTTAATGCCAGCAATACCTCGACTTTTACAAATGCTGGAAGCCAAGTAAAAGCCCTGTCAGCAGTATACATTTCTCTGTGGTCCTTCAACAATTTTGCACGTACAAAATTTTCTGCTATTTTGCTTTAGCAAACAGCAACATAATTTAAAATTCTGTGTTTCCTATATAACACCTAAAATCCAGTCCTATATTAATATAGTTAGAAAAATAAAAGGCTTAAAAATTTAATAGTACAAGTTCATGGTGCTAATAACAGAATCTCTTCAAACATAAGATCATTTTAAATCTCCTACATAACCAGCTTCTCATTTAATTTGAAATACTTAAGAATTAAAATCCAGTAAGATTGTTAAATTAATGTACATATCAATCATTTAATTTTCACTTGCCTTGGGAGAGTTACTTCCCACTGTTCACTGAATGAATTCCTTTAAAATATTAATAAATATATTACAGTATTTACAAGCATTCTTATGTACTCCAACACTGACAGAGAGTTAAGCCACGGAGAGGGAAGCACAGGTTTCCTAACAGTATGACTCCATGATGTATGGGACAAAAGGAACCAGTGCTCAGGCCCGGAGGGAGCTGAGAGCAGGCATCATGGTTCAGATATGCACACATGCTCTAAGACACATCAGACTCTAGCTGAGACCAGCCAGACATTTTTGTTGTTGTTGGATTAGAAGTAAAAGCTGAACAAGAAACCAGGACAAGGAAGGAAGAACAGGAAGCTATGCCTCAATCAGAGTAGGCTAAGGATTTTAAAACCAAGCTCCACAAGCTGTTAGTGAATTACGCTATGGAAATTGTTGAGGGGGGTGGTAGAAAGGGGGGTTAAATGCAAGACTTTGTTTTGGCAACAAAAAATGACAGTAATTTGATGTTTACAACTTTAACTGTGCCATGTCCCCTTTCTTACACACTTTCTGCAGATTGTTTTGTGTGAACGCAACTTCCACGTGACTTCTTTAATGTACTTGGCAAACTCTTGTTAATGCTGTTGAAGAATGTATGTTCTATGCTGTGGTAAGAGGTGATCATAATGCCCAACTCATCCAATACAGCATCATAAATTGAAGTGAAAGAGATTTACTAGATGTTTGTTTTGTGAATGTGAATCAAAGTCTTATTTTGGGGGTGTAGTTTCTTATTTTTTTAACAAAAACAGTAGTCATTATTTTAAAAAGCACGTTCTCCTAGGTGCATATTTATATACATATACGAACACCTTTTCCTCCCCTTTGTGCCCTTCTGGGTAGTCATTTTAAAAACTCAAGCTTGGGGTCATCAAGGGGGTAGATTTATACTCCCACCTAACTGCCTGGAGTATAGAGTTCAGATAGTCTCTTAGGAAGTTTTATAAATGAGATTCACCCAGTATAATTCTTAAAGCTCTTAAACAGGGGTCTTTAAAATAATTTAAACACTTAAGTAATCAATAAGGGATCTCTGGTGGCCCACTTTTACATGCAAATACAGACGAACTGTTAACATGCATTATTTTAGTCAATTGGTAAAGTTTATTTCATAAGTAATTTTAAGCCATTTACTAAAGTGTAAATTTCAATCCATTAAAAACTACTACCGGAGCAGTTCTGAGGTATTACTGTTAATTTAGTATAGAAATGTTACTGTATTTTGATGTGGTATGAAATGCAGCCACCACGCCTCTCATGAAACGGTGCTATCATGGAGCTGAGTACAGACATGTCCTATGGCTTTCAGGAAATTATTGTGCATGTGCATTAACAGATTTTCCGAACATTAATGGCAATTTAATTGGTTGGTCATTTGTAAGCATACCAAAATAACGTATAGCCCATAGTATGGGCCAAACACACTGAGACATTTGAGGCATACAATACTACCCTCCAGTCTACTTTCATCAGAAACCCAACCTACTCACTCAAGTCATTTTCAAGGAAAACTAGTGCAGAAAGCACCCAAAAAATATTGCCTGTCAGCAGGTTAATTTTCTTCTAACATTAAAAGAAGTAGATATTTTTTCTTTTAAAATTCATTTATAAAAATAAATTTCAGTTTGAGACCCTACGTAACAAACTGTGGCTTAATTTAGTCAAGATGGATGTATTATAAAGTTATGAAAAATGCAGTTGAAAACACATGAACTCCAGCTCATTTCTACAGCATGGCCAAGAGCTGCCACTCTACGCTATTGCAACCCTTCTCAGATAACCAAAATGCACTCAACTTCTTGACAAACTTTTAGCCTTCCTTTGTCCTGAAACTCCCATAAAACTTTAATTCTTAGACCACCATTATAAAACTATTAGTAACCATAATACATTCAAGATAGGAAATGAAGACCTGTTACCCACTCAGGAGACACTAATCCAGGGCACTGGGACAACACGGCCACTCAGGGACAATAGTCACCCTTGTGGGTGCACAGCTCTTCAGAATGCAGGCATAAAGTCCCTTATGTAATTTTTATCTCCAAGCAACAATAATTTAAAAATCAGTTGGAGAGTGTCAGCAGGTGCTTCTAGGTTCTGTGCTGTGAGCCCCCCAGTTCCTGGCGTTGTAGGGCTCTGGATCTTTCTGTACACGGCATAGAAACACAGTCACATGGAAATGCCAATATGACTTACTGCTTAGGGCTGTGCTAACATCGGCATCTCTGTTAGACTGGTCTCACAGGAGAAGCTTTTTTTTTTTTTGCCTTAGTCAGGAGATTATTCGAGGAATAGTAAAGAACTGAACTAAGGAAGAAGTTACTGGCTTCCAAAGCCACACACACACACAAAAGCAAGTTTCAAACTGTTCTCCTCTCTCAGTGCAAACAAGCAATTGGTGAACCTGTCACGTATCATCAATCGATATGAACACAGCATTCAGTCTGTAGAATAATGTGATGCTGCAAAAATCTGATCTAATGCAAATTCAAGCCTATTAAATAAAACCACAGAAAGGAGAGCCAGACCGGCTCAGTGTTCTTGCGCACGGACACTGACTCTGAGCACAAAAGCAGCTGAAAGGCACGAGGCTCAGATCTCACTGATCGTCCTCTCCGAAGGGCAGTACTCCGAGGAGCCTGGCGAGGACACATAGAAAGACTGCGTTTTTCTTTTCAATCGGGCCCTTTTGTTGGCCAACACCAGACTGCGCCGGCTTGAACTGATGATTTCCGAAATGAACTTCTTGCAGTCCACACACACCTCCATGGTGCTCCAGTCCTCCATCAACTCTTTGGGAAACTGGAGTTCTTCATCTGATTTGTCCACAGACTTAGATTTTGAGGAGAACCTGGGGGAATAACAATAGAAAACAAAACAGAAGCCCAGCATTGTTACTTATAGGTCTACTGCAGTATTAAGAAAATATGTGTTAGAAGAAAGGTAAATTTGTCAAAACATCATGGAATGGATGAGTGATTTAATCATATGTTCTTCCAAAAAATTTCTTATTTGAGACAAGGCTCAAAAATGTTACGTAGAAAAGAAAGCAGGGGGCCAGGCATGGTGGCTCATGCCTGCAATCCAAACACTTTGGGAGGCTGAGGAGGGCAGATAACCTGAGGTCAGTAGTTCAAAGCCAGTCTAGCTAACATGGCAAAACATGGTCTCAACTAAAAATACAAAAAAAAAAAATTAGCTGGGTGTGGTGGTGTGCACCTATAATCCCCACTATTCTGGAGGCTGAGGCAGGAGAATCACTTGAACCCGGGAGGTGGAGGTTGGAGTGAGCCAAGATGGCACCACTACACTCCAGCCTGGGTGACAAGAGCAAAACTGTCTCAAAAAAAAAGGAAAGAAAGAAAAGAAAAGAAAGCAGGAAACATGTCTTATTAAGAAACAGGTGCTGCCCAGACTACCGAACAATATAGTCAGGATGATTAAAGGTGACCCTAAGAAACCAAAGGGCAAGATGTCTGCTTATGACTTCCTTGTGCAGATGTGCAGAGAAGAACATAAGAAGAAAAACCCAGAGGTCTCTGTCAATCTTGCAGAATTTTCCAAGAAGTGCTCTGAGAGGTGGAAGACAATGTCTGGGAAAGAGAAGTCTAAATTTGATGAAATGGTAGTGGATAAAGTACACTATCACTGGGAAATGAAGTGGATTCCAGAGGATTACGGACCAGCTAAGGAAGGCAAGAAGGATCCTAATGCACCCAAAAGGCTACTGTCTGGATTCTTCCTCCTCTGTTCAGAATTCCACCCCAAAATCAAATACACAAACCCTGGCATCTCTATTGGAGGTGTAGCAAAAAAGCTGGGTGAGATGTGGCACAAGTTAAATGACAGTGAAAAGCAGCCTTACGTCACTAAGGTGGCAAAGCTGAAGGAAAAGTATGAGAAGGATGTTGCTGACTATAAATTGAAAGGAAAGTTTGATGGCACAAAGGGTCCTGCTAAAGTTGACCAGGAAGACGAAGATGATGAAGATGAGGAGGAAGAGAAGGAGGAAGAAGGAGGAGGAGGAAGGAAGAAGGAGGGAAGAGGGAGGAGGGAGGAGGGAAGAGGAAGGAGGAGAGAGGAGGAGGGGGAAGAAAGAGGAAAAATAAAGAAACTATTTGAAAAAAAAAAAAAAAATCCTAAACTAAAATCTCTTAACCGACCTTCTAGAATTCTTGGAAAATACAGTATTCACTTGATTCCCAATGAACATTAGTTAACTGTAGATGGCAGGTCAGACTATAGGAAATTCAAAAAAATGTAACTTAATCCCAGGACACATCCTAAAAATTACCTTTTGACCAGTTTTCTCATCATTTACGTATTTAACAAACAAGCCTCTCCCTCTCCAACAATTCCCCATAGTTGTGCAATTATTTACTGGGATTCCAAAGGAATCCAGTAGTTAACTAGACCAACATAATAGATGTTTCCAGGAATGTCTGAGATAACTAGGAATCATCTACTCATTTACTATTTTAATTAAACCAAACAGGATATAAACAGGTAGTCTACAGTAGGTTCAGAGTAAGTATGGAAAACTGCAGCAGCTGTTACGTGCACTGATAATTCACACCCAGAGGTTTCAGAGGAGGGAGCCCAAGCACAGGGGCAGATGTTTCAGGGACAAGGTTCATTCTGGGCCTACAGTTTCCTGGTCTTGCTGTCCACAGAGCCATGGCATGTGGTTGGTGCATCAAAGCCCAGCCTCTTGGCCCTGCCAGCTTGAGGCTTGAGCCTCCTTCCACCTTTCTTAAGGCCCAGAACTAACCTTACCCTGCACCAAATGCAAAAGGACTGATACTCAGGTGATATTTTTTCCTTCATTTTCAGCTTTTGGCATAAAGCTTTATTTCTGCCTTTACAATAGTAAAGTCAAACAAAGCCATGGCAGAACATTGTAAACAGGATTAAACCACTTTCTTTTAAAACTAGGCAAGGAGGAAAGAAGGATGAGACTGTTATATTCCAATTTCCAACTCCATTGAAAACAAGGTCAGTTGTAAAGATGTCTTATAGGACACAGTATAATAGTTGTTTCTAAAGTAGAAAAAAATTTAAACTATGTGATAAAGTATCCTTCAAAAGTAGCTAGCCATTATCCTTTAAAAAGTTACCTTTGTGGAAGTTTTGGAGATTTGTGTGCAAGTCTAAAACTGTATTAAAACCAACCAACCAACAACAAAAACCCCTCGAGCCAAAGCCCTAACACCCCACCACAGTCCTCAAGAGTAGAACTCTTCTGCAAAGGATGGTTTGACAACCCAGGCCCCTTGCTTACCTGGCAATGCTCCGAAGTGGCCGATGATGGGCAGTAGAGGGTTTATCTGACCTCATACTACTTTCCCCTCTTTGCAGAGCAGAAGGTCCCAGTGAAAAGATAGGAAGAGTGGAGTATGGCTTGGATGGCAGCCGCATCTATTATCCCAAATAAAACTGACGATGAGCAGTACTGTTAAAGAGGCAGTCACTAAAACAAACACAAGTATAACTGAACCAAGCTTAGCTTACCTTTTTGCAACACTGTGAGCACACCGGCCTGTACACAAAATCATAAATGTTACTTGGTATTATACAGTGGATGCAACTAGGAGTTAGAGAAGACTATGGCAGTACAGTTGTAAGTTTCTACAATAAACTGTAAAACTCTCACTTCTATTAGAATGTAACAAATTGACATACTGCAAATTGCCAAAAAGATAATCCACAGAACTTAATTCTTACATTGTCTCCTATAAAAGGGCCAACTTACATCTGTTTGGAGTTTTGTTATTTGTCTATCTGGGGATTGCATGGTAATCACATCTTATTTTTCTCTGTTCAAACATGACGTATTATTAGAATTATCTTAGGTAAAAGAAATAACATACAGGGAAACATTTTCTAGGTTCAATATCAAATAAGTGTTTGGTTCCCTCTCTTGAAGAAATCAATGTTCCTAACCTGCAAGGATAGCACAAGGTAACAACTGAATGGGTAATTTCTAATTTTATTCCTGTGTAGAAAAATGGTGAGGTAAGGAAGGTAATTCTCTTAGAACTGTTACATTTATCTTTTCATCAATTACAAAATACCTTACCTCTTACAGAACTGACAGGTATAAGACCAAGTGAAGAAGGAAAACCTCCTGGTTCGGCAACAAAAGCAGAGCTAAAAAATACAAATTTAAGAGGAAAAAGAAGCATTGCCAATAGCAAATTTCCTAATATCCATGTTTGAATATGCTTAACATCTATATATGGGAGAAGCTGAATAGACAGGAAGGGGATGATAATTCAGAAATCCCGTTTATAACAGTTGGCTCTGTGATGCTGATAATGTAGCTCTGTATTTAATTATAATTCTATTTCAAAAGATAATAAAAGGCCACAGCTCTTAAGTTTCTCCTCATCATGGAAGGTTTCTGAAACACCCTCCTTTGTTTCTCAGATACACTTTCTTTACAGATCCTTTAAAAGTGTAATGACTAAATGCACACGATTTTATGAAGGCATATCGTTATTTGTTATGGCTGCCTGAAAACCTTTCAGTTTTGATTTTTAAGGGAAAAACAAAAATGCCCCCTCTTGTGAAAGAGGCAGCACAGGCACTGTCTGCTAGGATATGAACATTGCACCTCCCAAATCTGCTCAAAGACATGTTGCCACCTGGCTAGCAGATAACTCCTTCAGCAGACCATGCATGGGACTGGCCATTCTTCTACTCTTCTGATCAATCAATTAAACAGCACTACCTTTCCTTTTTTCAAGGCGGTGTAGATGTCTTTATACTGTTGGTATTTTTCCAGCTCTGCCTTCACCAGGACCTGGCGAATATGCATCACTTCTTCCACAGTAAGAGCGAGGCATTCCACTGGGTAGCAGAATTCCTCCTGAAATTCAAAATGTCACATGAATAAGAGACTCCCACCCCCTGTTCTGGAAGCGCAAAATTTCCCTTCAGATCAGACACCTGATTAGTAGCTTCAGAGAAGAAAAGAGGTTTCCCAATGACGATTGGGAAGAGCTGGCTCCCTCTGGGGACCACATCATTTCTAATCACACTAAGACTACAGATGGCAGAAAACATTTGGGGACTGAGTGATCTACTGAAATTTCCAATAAATGAAAGTTCCTCACATTTGCTTAGGTATTCTGACTCAAGTAACTATTCTGTTAAATAGGGCTATATCTCTATGCTTGAAATGTTGAAAAAAATTTATTCTAAACCAATTTTATGTCAGTTTTCTCCTATGCTTATGAAGAAAACATTACTTAGTGTTGTGTTGTACACTATATACCAACAGATAAAAAGTAAATCTGCATTGGTCCTTTTTTTTTTTTGACAACCAGGTTACATTCTGTTACCCAGGTTGCGGGCAGTGGCATGATCATGGCTCACTGTAGCCTTGACTTCCTGGGCTCAAGTGATCCTCCCACCTCAGCATCCTAGATAGCTGGGACTACAGGTACATGCAACCATGCCCAGCTAATTTTTTCTATTTTTTGCAGATATCAGGTTTCACTATGTTGTCCAGGCTGGTCTTAAACTTCTGGGCTCAAGTGATCCACCTACTTCTGCCTCCTAAAGTGCTAGGATTACAGGCATGAGCCACCATGTCCAGCCTGGCCCTGTTTTTTTGTTTTTGTTTTGTTTTGTTTTTTTTGAGACAGAGTTTCATTCTTGTTGCCCAGGATGGAGTGCAATGGCGCGATCTCAGCTCACCACAACCTCCACCTCCCAGGTTCAATCGATTCTCCTGCCTCAGCCTCCTGAGTAGCAGGGATTACAGGCATGCAACACCATGCCTGGCTAATTTTGTATTTTTAGTAGAGATGGGGTTTCTTTAGGTTGGTCAGGCTGGTCTTCAACTCCTGACCTCAGGTGATCCACCTACCTTGGCCTCCCAAAGTGCTGGGAGTACAGGCCTGAGCCACTGTGCCTGGCCGGCCTGGCCCTGTTTTTAAAACTGGTTCGTGGTACCCAGAATAGCCAAAAGAAGATGGTTAGTAATTTTTACTGAGAAGCATTATTTAGTGATCAGTTACATCAGCACACCTTTACAAATCCTGATGGTATGAGTGAAACTGGAACATGAATCTGCTGGAGCCATTTGCATCCAAAAGGCAGTCTCTCCAGGCTGCCCCATAGTTCTCTAGATTCTGATTTCTGTTTTCACTTTCAAAAACTGCTAATAGTCAGCACTGGAAAGACTAGAGAAATGTCAAAGAATTTCACAATAAATATTTATGTTGGCTGTCTTGTGTTAATGATTTCCCTACCAGCAGCTGCGGAAGATGTTGATGTAACTGATCTCACTGAATAAGAGCCTCACACCCATCCGCTCCCCATCCGGCCCCGCACTTGATTGGTGGAACTCAGAGAAAGACAGAACAGTCTTGTGCATTTGGACCCTGCCAGGCTGCAAGGGGCCATTGTGGTGCAATGACACTGAAACTGAATGTTCTCAGCACAAACACATTATAATTCACTCCCACACACACACAACAGCATCACTCACAGGCATTCTGGAATCTAACACGCCAGTGAGAAAACACAGGCCTATGAATGCAGTCAGTTTATAGAGCTTTAACAATCAGTTCTGTCTTTCAATCAGAGAAAAACAAAAATAAATCTAAGTTGCAAACTTGTCAAACATTAGCATTTTACTTAATAAAGTAGTCTGAAGAACTACTGCATTTTACTAAAAATCAATACAAAACCATCTCTGTTCAAGCTAACTTAAGGAAATTACATTTGCTTAAAAATGCTTTCAGAAAAATCCTGCAATTGAATTTTTAAGATGAGGAGCTTATTAGTATAAGAGGGCAGGTGAATGAGTTTATTCAGAAAGATTAAGGCTCTAAGATGCTTAAAATACTCATTTAAAAAATCAATGACGACAGTTTTCTCTTTAAACAGGAACTACGTTCAGAGATGATAGGATTAAATTGGCGTGTTTGTATCTGCTCTGTATTACTCCAACTTCAGAAAAGAGTAGCGTTAATTGGGAACAATAAACTGCCTTTT